CCACTCCCTCCCTCGAGCCGGTAAGCGGTAGGACACATCCCCTGGGCGAGGCCATCCATAAACCAGACCTGCAGCATCCCCTTCACTTCCCTGCAAGTCCCCACTCACTCGCCCTGTTCTCCACAAAGCCAAGTTCCCTACAAGGATCCTGCCCCCTCCACTGCCATCCCTCTTGCCCTTCCTCCCTTGAGGATCACAAGGCAAAGCTTGTCTGTGAGGCTTTTCTACATTCATTCTTTACACACGATGTATTTTATACTCCCCCTAGGGCCCGCTGCTCCCTTCCCCCAGAGTCTTCTGGGCTTGCCCGATGGCTACTTCCCTCCACAAGGGACTCCAGGGGGCCACCAGGTAAGGCCCACTGCTCTCCCCCCATCTATGCACAGCCTTTGAGGGGCTGGAAGGATACGGGCACCCATCCCCCCTCCAGACACAGGGAGCAGGAGGAAAGGATGCCTATCCTCTCCCCACTGCAGCCACCATGACAGGCTGAACCACTTCTCAAGTCCCTGAAAAGCCAACCCACTTCAATGAGCTTTAGAGGCCTCTGACCTACTCTTCCCTTCCTCCTCTCTCCTCCCCAGCCCTTGAGGGTACTTTTGGGATTGGCTGGATCCGTGCTCCAAACCTTTGTAGGGTCTAAGCTTGGAACACAAGCTCCTGACTTTGCACCTGGCTTTTATCTCCAGGGGAGCCCCTCGTGGTAACACTCTGGGACCAAGGGCCCCCAGACTTTGATGTCCATCTTTAAAGCAGCCAGCCACACACACAGGCCTGGTAGAAGTATGGTGGGTCTGGATTAGAGCTGCTGCCCCACAGCCACTTTCTCTGGCTTTACCCACAGAGCCAGCCCACAGCTGCAGATGATGCCAGTTGTCAATTGTACAGACACACGCAGGATCCCAGGATCCCTGAAGCAGCCCTGCCTGGCCCCATCCCCACCCCGCTACCCCTCAAGCACAGTTGTGTGCTGGAGCTCTGGACCGCTTGCTGATGTCTTTTATGGATGGCCCCCTCCCTGCTCTGCCAGCTGGTGGCTAGGCCCAGCTCTGGGGCAGTAGCTGTAGGCACAGTCTCCAGGCAGCTTCCTTCTCCTGGCTTGCTTTTTTCTTTTTGGCTGAAAGAGGCTTTGGCTGATTTTGTTCTGCTCTCTGGTGGCTTGTGGATGATTCTTCTGAGCTCCATCTCCCCTGAGACAGTGTTCCACTCCTGAAAACCCATCAGTAACAGCCCAGACTGTGAGGCTGACAGACAGGGAGGGACCACCAGACATGGTCTCCATGTGCCCTCTTCCCTTCTCCAGATAAGTTTGTCTGGGAAGCCCCAATGCCAAAAGACACAAGGAGAAGCATCTGCCATCCCAACAGTGCATGTTACCACCGAGCATGCCTGCTGCATGTCCTCACATGCACACGCACCCACTCTACTTCTCTTCCATTGGGTTTTCTATAGTGCCCATCACCATAGCATCTAGGCACGTAGCTTCCAAAGCAGGCTTGAGGCCTTTTCTCTCCATCTCAAAACCCCAGCTGGCACTTGGTCCAGCTCCCTGGAACTTGAGTGCATTGTTTTACTTAAAGATCCATGGTCATGAACAATACCAAATACAACAAGTGAGCAACATGGGATTTGCTTCTCCTGCCTCACGACCTCAGCCTCCTGCAAACTTGCACTGACCTCACCCTCCTTTCTCTGTTTTCTCTTCCTCTCCCTTTTTTTGTTCTCTTTCTTCTTCTTCCACCAGCTGCTGGAGAGAGTAACATCTACCGGAAACCTCCCATCTATAAGCGACACGGTATCGTGTGGGCACTGTGGTGGGGTGGTTGCCAGTGACTCAGTAGTCCTGGTGTCTGGAGAGCAGGGCTGAGAGGAGGGGCCAGATGTTGCCTTCTGACCCCTTGCTGGGAACAAGCAGTAGCTGCAGGGGCTTTGATGGGGTTACTACAGATTATGCCTGCCTGGGAGTGAGATTTGATTAGTTCAGGAAAACAGGGAATTGGACCATGTGGGTACCTTATGGGCAGGGACCTGAAGAGCAAGTAGCAGAAAGAAAAGCTGGAAGTACTAGGAGGGTCATGGCTGCATTTTCTAGTGGGGCTTTTGTCCTCAGAGCTGGGGCTTCCCATCCTCAGGAGTAGGACTTCAGAGCTGAGGTCAAGGCTGAGGTCAAGATCAGCAAAGAGGCAGGTCCCAAGGTGGGTGGAGGGTCCCAAGGATTGCTGCACCTGCAGTTCACTTTAGGGCAGTAGGATTCAGCCCCCACCACACAATCATCCCAAGGATGGAGACTTGTCACTAGGGCTCAGAGCTCGCCCAAAGTGGGAAGGCTGGAGGTCAGGAGCAAGGGTTGGTATCACAGCAGTGGGGTGAGAGGGGAACAGTGGAGATGTGAGGAGGCTGCAAGCCAAGAAGGTGGAGGGCAGTGACAGCAGAGGGCAGGGAGGCCTGGGACAGCAGGAGGCTGCAGGACTAGGACAGTAAAAGACACTGGGCAGTAGGGACACTACCATAACTTAGCTGGATGGATGGAACTGAAAAGGGAATCCAGCCTTCACATGAACATTTAGGGACCAAACTCAGACTGTCCCCTGCAGACATCACAGACTGGACGAAAGCCAATACTCAAGACCCATGTGTCAGGGCTGGCCTGTGGGTAGGTGTGTGGGGGTCACTGGGGAAGTGCCTGGGTGTGGGGGGGATGTCACAGGCCAGGTGCTGGTGGAGGAGGGCTCCTTCTACATCCCCAGTTTGCTTCCATTTGCTGAGGTGCAGCAGCTTTCCTTGTGCATCAGTAACCGCGTGTCTCCTTCTCTCTCCCTTGAATCTCCTCTCTCCTGTCCACCTTGCTCCCCTACTGCCCCTGCTGACTGTCTGCGCCCCCTGCACTGTAAGTAGCTGCCTTTGCTGCCTTCTCTGTGGCTGCCATGGTTAGTTACCGAAGGGGTCTGCTTGCTCTTCGCTGTCTCAGATGTGGGGGGTTGGCTTGGGCACCATCTCCCTGGGTTCATCAGAGGCCAAGCCTGGCGGGGGGCACATGCTGCCCTCATGCCCTCGCTGGGGATGAGAGAACAGGCCACCGTTTTGTTTTCTTAACAGCACAGCAGAAGCCTCAAAGATTTGGCCAAGTGGCCTGGACCCTGGCATGCACGCCGGCCCCAGAGCCACCGCAAGCTATAGCTTTGCAGCACGGGAGCAGGGTGCTAGCAAGAGACAGCGATAGCAAGCATGGGGCTCATGTTCTGGCTCCTCTCCCTGGCACACCCACCCTCGCAGCTCCAATGGCCAATGCAGGCAACTCGCCACATCCACTTCCCCCATCCCTGTAGATTATGCCTTCTGGGATCATGCTCCCTCCTCAGTCCTTTCCCTCATGGGCATCTGCTCATGCTGCCATGTCCCTAGAGTGCTTTTAGTCGTCTCTTCTGGTGATGGCCAGGGCACTGGACTTGATGGCCCAAGAGGCCCTATCTAGTCCTTTGTTGCTTTGTATTCCTGAAGTATCTCCCTTCAGCCTCAGTGGGTGGAGTACACATTACAGATTAAGCAAAAATCAGGAAAGGGTGCAAGCCAACACCATTGTGGACTCTGGACTGGGATTTCTGCTTCCCCTTGCTGCTGTAAGGTTGGTGGCAGGCAGAGGCAGAGCCTTCAGACCTAGAGAGCTCCTGCTCCAGTCCATTCTGCACAGAGCCACCATGAGCATGGCTCAGGGTTCAAGGAGCCAGCAGGTTTTGTTCTTTCACCTCTCAGTGCCCAATGCTGAGTTGTGTCTCTTTGTGCCTCTGGTGTAAAATAAGGTGATAGGGGATGTGAGGTCCCACCAGCTAGTGTCTAATCTGGGTAGGCTTTTGTCTATGCACTAATGAGGAAAGGCTGGGAAGCCACTGGGCAGAGAGGGGAGGATGTGCCAGAGTCCTGTCTGGTAATTAACTCAGATGGGTCTGAGGAAAGCCAGGTGGAGTGAGACCCACCAGACTTGTCCTACTCACAACTCTGCCCTGGTGCCCTCTGGTTTAAGGGAATGATATCAGCCCCCACTTCTTCAGGAGCAGTTTGTGCTTCATATCATGCTGTCACTGCTCTTTGTCTCCCAATAGAAGCTCACCTAGGAGTGGTCTGGGGGTAGGAGGGGACTGCCTATCTTCCTGGGAGGGCTGTGGTGACTCCAGAATTCAGGCTTCCCTCTAAGCTGCGCTTTACCTGTTGCCCTTGCAGACCACCCGCCTGCAGCCACGAAAAGCAAAACCAGCGAAGACATTGCACAGTCCTCCAAGTACAGCCCTGCCTACTCTCCAGACCCCTACTACCATTCGGAGTCAGAGTACTGGTCTTTCCAGAGCTCCCCCAAAGGTAATGCCACCTCCTGGGGCCCAGCAGAGGTCATTTCCTGGGAGGGGATGGGAAATGACTGCAGAGCGATGACACTGAGCACAGCCCTGTCCTCAATGCCATCATCTTGGGGTGACTATCATTTATTTCCAGACTTGGGACCTGTTTGTATGTAACCATCCTTGTGCCACATCTGATTCTTCCCTGTGCCTTATTGCAGTACCCCGAGCCCGGAGGTTCTCATCAGGAGGAGAAGAGGATGGGTATGACCGGGGGATGCACAAGGTGAGCCAGGGTCTCCACCACTTTCACCCCATCCTTTGGCATCTTCTCTCAGTGCCCCCAACCAAAGGAGGGGAGAGGCTTGCTGGCTGTTAGAAACCATTGTAAGTCACATACCTTGCCCAGGATCATGGCAGAGGCAGGCTGTCTCCATCCAGCATCTCATTCAGTCATTGTTGCAATGTGGTACCTTCCTTTGTCAAATGGGTGGGGACTGTTCCCATCCACACCCTGCAAGAAGGAATTTCTGCTGGACTCCAGCCATTCCAGGCTTGGGATCACTTTCTGGATGCTTTCCAGCCCTCCATGTTCTTTCCCTCTCCTGGTGCAGGGGCTGGCAGATGTAATGAACTTGGATAAGGTACCCCACCTCTGAAATGTACCTGGAGAGGGAAACTGACCCTGCCATAGAGAACAGGCATTGCTTGGGGAATGGAGGAACCAATTTCACTCACCATAAAACACCAAGAGCTCCTCAATTTTGCAGTGTGTGTGTCACGTTGGAAGGGACAACCATACAGACTTGCAGGTGTTACCTGGTCTCAGGGCAGAATCAGTCAATTCCAGTGCTGGTGGCATTGTGCATTTTCACTGGGAGATGATATGTGGCCATCTTCTGTGATGCTGCCGGTGCTAACTGAGGGAAGCTGATTTGGGGTGAGGAAAGCAGCTGCTGCTGCCACCTTTCTGCCCCACATAAAGCTTCTTCCTTTCCTTCTGTCTTTCTGGTGCCTAGATCCAGAGTGGCATTGGCAGGCTGATCCTGAAGGAGGAGATGAAGGCACGATCCAACTCTTACGCTGATCCTTGGACGCCACCCCGCAGCTCAGCCAGCAGTAGAGAAGCCCTCCATACAGCTGGCTATGAGAGCTCTCTGAACGGCTGTAAGGAGTGCCATGACCATGGTGCTAGCGGGGGAGGCAGAGGGGCTTTCCAGCTCTCACCAGACAAAGTGTCTGTGGCTCATAAGTTTTTGGGAATTCACTGACCTTTGGAGTAGGGGAGGAGATACAGACTGCTTCAGGGGCCAGGTCTGCCTGGGCTGTATCAGATCCAGCAATGTAAGAGAGGAAGGATTACTGGCAGTCCAAGAATCCCTCCCACAGAGGTCTCTTCTGTGGCCTCCATGTGAAATGAGCTGGTGAGTCTCATATCAAATCACTGGCTTTCCCACCTTCTCCTCTATTCTGATTGGCGTTTCATTGCGTCTGTGTTCCCAGAAGGTGGAGAATCCATGAGGTGACCAGGTCTCAAGTCATATTGAATCCATAATGATTTCTGTGAGGTAGAAACACCCCCCCTGAGAAACATAAAGACAAATGTATGCTCAAGATACTAGGCATTTTTGAGTTTCCATGGGAACCCCTCCACTTTGTGTCTGTGAATGTTACACACACGTCTGCTCAGGCCATAGCATCTCCCAGAACTCCCTAACAGCTCAAAAGGTTCTTGCATTAACCTTTGATGGCCCAGAGATGATGCCACCTTCATTTTTCCATTTTCTACGGGTGGAGGGATTCAGGCCTGCTGAGTACATGCCTGCAATCGCAAGGCTGGCCACCAGATGGCACCACTAGTGGCTTTCCAAGCCAGTGGTCTAATTGGATTAGGCCAGGCTGAGTGAGTAGGTGATGGGGTGTGGAGGTGACCCCAGGCTGCTGTGGTGCCCGCCCATGCAGATGCTGTGCCACTGCTGTGACCTCCCTGAATAGTAACCAGGGGGTTGCAGGGGCTGCTGCTATTCACAGTCAGTTCGGTGGCCTCTCTGTGGCCAGAGGAGCTGTGGGCCAAAGGGGCAGCTGGGCAGTGCCCCAGACTGCTTCATCCTCCATGCCTCTCCCTGCACTCTCCTTCCACCCTCTGGGCAGCCCCGGCTGCCTCACCTCAGAGGCAGTGTTGCTCCTGCATGACAGACCTGCATAGGGCGGAGCCTGGTCCAGTGGTCAGAGCAGGGACACTAGAAGGTCCCCCTTCTAAACTGCCTGAGCAGCCACTGCCACTGACTGCATGAGCAGCCTGGTCAAGTCCTTGCTCCATAATGAGACCTGCAGCAGTGGCTGTGCAAGGCTGGGGGCTGGGAGGCTTAATTCACCAGGCTTTGGGAGTTGCTCTTTTTGACCCTAGCGGAAGATGCCATAAACGGTACAGGATCCATGCAGTGGGAACAGAAGCCCTGGGGTGGGGTGGGGTGTGAGCTTGCACAGGGATGAGTGGTGGATCCTGCACACAGCCTCAGGGGCCAGGCTACCTCAAGGAAGGCAGGGACATGGTGGATGTGTGGTGGGCAAACCTGGCTCTCTGGTTTGGCGGTGCTTTCTAGCTGTGCTAACCATCAGTTTTCCCTCTGCTTGCAGCTCCCCGTGCGCATTATCTGGCGGACAGCGGTAAGTGCATCTCCCCTCTCTCCTGCATTCAGTGCTTCTCCATGTTACAAAACCATCAAGGGAGTGGTCTGGGGGTGAGAGCAGGAATGGAAGCTGGACTAGGAGCCTTGCACCTGCTAGAGAACTGAATCCACAGGTTCCAGAAAGCATCTAGTCCCCCCCACCTTGGGGAAGGAAATTCCCTGGGCCTTGCAGGAGCAGACTGAGTGATACAGAGGGCTGAGGGCATGTTGGCTACAGTCTAACAAGGAAAGGGTCCATGAGACTCTTGCACGGATCCTGTTTGTCCAAGACAGACCCTTACAGAGGTGTGACTCTCTGTTTTCTAACATGCCTGTGGATCCTCAGGAAAACTGCCCGCCACAGACCAGAACCTGTATATCCCCTTCCTGTTTGCATTATCGTGCATGTATCTGCATTACTAAAGTGTCAAAGAGCCCTGTATGTGGGTCAAGAGCTCTTGTGTAGAAACACAGAACAGAAAGATGGTCTCACCCAAAACAGCTCACAGTCAGAGTAGAAGACAAGAGAGGATAAATGAAGCCAGACAAATTGTGGAGTGCAAGCTGACCATGAGAGCAATATCCAGAATGATCTGCAGTGCTCCAGCATCCCAGCTACTGCCAGGCTTTCTGTAGGCAACAGGGGAAAGACTTCAGCAGACTTGGAGGAAGCTTATCAGCTGGTTTGGCTGAAATAGAGTGGAGCTCGTCTTATATATGTAGGATGGAGAGAAAGCAGGGGAGAAAGTTCTGAGCTAGTTTGACAATTACATAAGCAGAGGTAGAGACCAGCTTCATAGCCCTTTCAGAGCCTCTTGGTTATGGATGAGACACACAGATAGGGTAGGAAAGGCCATGAAAGGCCTGGAAGATGAAGATAAGCCAGGGGTTTCATTCAGCAAGAAAGGGAGAGCTAGTGGAGGGATGCAGAGATCCAGTACTGTGGTCAAAGTGCTGGGTGAGAATGGCCCCAGCATCAGCATCCTGCATGGTGGACCTGAGCAGGCCAAGGCTGCATTTGTCAAAGCCAGAGAAGAGCGTGGCAGTGATCAAGGTTGGAGATGAGGGGATCCTGGGCAAGAGTTTTAGCTGGATGGATGGACCAGAAAAGACATTTCTTAGCAATGTTAACGCAGAAAGATTCAGCAAGACTTGTACAATCTGGATGCTACCACCCAGGGGGAGGCTTGAGCAGAAGATAAGCTATGGGTCTGAGGAACAGGCCAGAGGACGCTATAGACAATAATGATTCAGAAAGAAGGTAGGAGACTAGAAAAGATTAAGCCATTCTTTAGCACTGTTGAATTTGAGCTGATGGCTAGACAATCATGAAGAGAAGTTTAAGAGACAAACCAAGATTTTAGTGCAGATGGAAAGCAGGTCTGGAGCAGAGATGGAGGTGTGTGAGTCTTCTTCATGGATATGGCAATTAAATGCATGTTTGCAGATGGGATAACTCAGAGAAGATGACAGAGCCCTTGGGAATACCCAGAGAAAGATACAAGGAGACAGGGAGGATGGAGGAGAGTGGTGAGGGTAGAGACACCAAAGCCAAGGAAGGACTGAAACCAGGAGGAAGGGCAGGATGAAGGGTGTCAAAGGCAGTGGACAGGATAAGGAGCATGATAATGGAGTCTTGCTCCTGGGCAGAGAAGAGGGTCACTGGAGACATCAGCAGTCATCGTTTCAGTGGCACACAAGGGTGGTAGCTGGGCCAGAGGGTGTTGAGGGTGGAATCAGAGGAGGGGAACTCCAGACAGCCATTGTCACTTGGGGTGCACCGAACTGAGCAGGGTGACATGGTGGTAGGGGGGTGGAGCAAATGAGATGGGGGGGTTCAAATGTGAGGAAAAAGCATGTTTCTCTCATGGGGGGAGGACAGATGGAGACTGAGAGGGTATGGAGGGAAGGAGAGAGGATAGAGTAGGATCCCTGGGGCACGTGAAGCAGGGAGCAGTTTGTGGTTCAGCCTGTGCTCTGTCTGGGGCAGGTCCTGCTTGTTGGGGTGTGCAGCTTGTTTTCTTCTTTCCAGATCCCCTCATTTCTAAATCTGCGTCTCTTCCTGCCTACAGACGGAACGGGCTGCATCGGGTAAGTGTGGCCAGCTGGCAAGGGCCAGTGCTCTAGCACATTACTGCTGGGGGAGTATCTGGGACATGAACTCCTTTGGAATGGGGCACAGAGCAGTTCTCAGGAGGCCAATGGCCCCATGGGGATGACCTCCCCTTTTTGCCTGGCTTCCAAACCCTCCTGCTGAAGTTGAGGATCCTCAGGACTGGAGGGAAAGGGAGTGGTTCTCTACAGGTACCTTCATTCCCTTGTCCTTGCCCTGCCTCCAGGCCCTGCATCCTCCGCTGAGGCACAGGGAGAGATCCCCGAGGGTATTTCTGTGTGGATTCCAACTGGGGGATTGAGGCCAAAAAGGTGCCATCCAATCCACGGGATTTAGCTGTGGCAAAAATCTCTTGGTAATCGTGGAGTTCAGATCTTGGAGGATCTGGCCTCCACTTGGGGTGTGGGAGATGTGTGCACTTGCCAGTATGGCATTTTAGTGCATAGCAAAGGCTAAAGAAATAGCCTGTGATCACTGCAGGGGGCTGGGAGGAAGGAGACCTGGGTTCTGGTCCTGCCATTGACTCACACTGTGACTTCGGAAAGTCACATCACCACCCTGTGCTTCAGCTTCCCCATATTCCATACCACTGTGGAGGGTACTGGGTTGATTGGTTAACTAAGATTTTTAAAGCACCTGAGATCCCCAGATAGAAAGACCCCTACAGGGGCTAAGCCTCTGTATCAAAATCCCTCCTGCTGACTCCCTGTATGTTCCCATTTCTCTTGCAGCCTCCCAGTGCTGAACTTTTCCACTATGACAGCACAAATGCCGTCAACTGGGGGATGAGAGGTAAGCGGGGCAGTGGGAAGCCTTAGCAAGTCCTGCTATAAATGCAGCTCTGCCCAGACCCCAGGGCTGGGGCCCTCTGGCAGGCCCAATATTCTCCTCCTGATCCAGAATATCAAAGGCAGCTTCCTTGCAGTGAATACAATGGCCATTATTTGTGTGGCGCCTACACGAGAGACAATGTGTTGTGCTGCTGTGTACCACCCGGGGCTGGCCCTGCAGCAGCAGATAAAAAGGGCGCTGTCACATGATGGGTCGTAGAAGGGTTAAAAGCCTGAGATTGAAGGACTGCAGATAAAGCCTCTAATATAACAGTCCCCACAATCCTCCCTCTGCTTTGGCATTTCTACCTGACTGGGGAATGAAGATGGGCTGGTCCTCATCACTCTGGCTTTTAAGGCATCTGAAGTGAGCTCTAGCCCATGAAAGTGTGTGCTATATAAATATATACTTTAGTTAATCTAGAAGGTGCAAATCTACCCTGCCTTTTAAGGCTCTGGCCAGTTAGGTCCACATTCCCATGTGCAGTTCTCTGTAGCAATAAGCTTGCAAACCCAGCAAGGAAAGGGCTAAACCCAGCCCCCTGCACTGTTCCCCTTGCAATTTAAATGCTGTGTAATATAACTCTCTCTGTTACTATCAGGCCACTTCATCTCCCAAAGAGAGACTGCAGGGCTGAGGGATTCATCCCTACCAGATTCATCCCTACCTTCCTCTTAGCCTGGAGCCAGTCTAGCCCCTTCACCCAGCTGGACCCTCAATTTTGGAAACCCCTCTAGGACATTTCACCAATCCTTCCATCACCACCATTGTGCCCTAGCAATTCCTGCCTTCCACAGTGGCCCTCAGAGGCCGGGAGCAGCTGGGTATAGGCTGGTTACTGTAGAGCCCCCTCTGCCCCCTTTTACCCAGGCCCTGGGCCAAGCTTAGCACCAGCACAGGGGAGAGTCCCAGCCCATTGTGCTTTGAAAAAAACTTTCAAAAGATATTAAAGCAGCAAGAACCTTTCAAGGCTAAAGAACTCTGATAGGTGCCATACTCCATGCAGCTGGTCCTTTGAAACTAATGTTAGTGATAGCTTCAGAGTCCCCCATGGGCTCAGGCCTTGGCACATCCTCAGGATTGCTGCTGCATCATCCAGGCTGTGGACCGTCAGAGGCAAGGGTATTTCAGGCTGCATTAAGAGCAGTGGATGAGATTCCAGACATTGTTGGGGCACCAGGAGCTTTGTAAGTGAGAGGAAGGAGCCTGGGCATTGCAGCCCATGGACCCAGGACAGACAGCAGGGAGGAGCGAAACAGTGTGTCTAGTGCCTCTTAGGGAAGATGAGGCTCTTGCCTGGTACCCAAGGGCTGGAGGCTTCTGGATGATTCAGTTCTCTGACTCTACCCTTTTCTTTCTCTCCCTACAGAATACAAGGTAAGACTATCCCCAAGAGGCTATGTCCCTTCTCATCAGAGCACCCATCTCCAGCAATGCCATCTTATCCCTGAATTCCATCTGGGCAGCATCCCAAAGGCATTGTCCCGTGGGCAATATCCCATTCTTCCATCTCCTGTGCCCCTGTGGTGGTCTCCAAAGCCCATGGCTGGATAGAGGCCTCTTCAGAGGTTTTACATTCCCACAGAAACCCCTTGCATTCACTTTTATTTTATCCCTTTGGCTCTGTACTGCATGACCCCGTTCCCCGTGTATGGCCACCTCAGACAAAACTGGAGTGGCTTTTGTCTCAAAATGCTCTGCCCAGCAAACAAGCACACTAGTTGGTGGGGGTAGTGATAGGATGGGTTACCACATACACAAGCTCTGGGCACTTCAACCTATTCTGTGCAGAGAGGGGATGTGGGGCACAATGTTAGCTCATTTCCTGCTCTATGAGAAGAGCCAGGAGACCATCAGCTTCAGCCTGAAGAGGTACTAGAGTGCAAAAGGCCTGCTAGCTTAGTGTCACCTCTGGAAGTCAGCCTCTTACCTGCACAGCATGCCTGCCTAGAAGCTCAGTCTGAGGTTAAAATTATGCTGTGGAAGATGGATCTGTATTCTCCCCACCAAGAGAACAGCACCAATGAGCAACACTGGATTTGATCATGGACTAGCCACTATGCTGTGAGCCCTTGTAGACCCATAGCTTTATTAATCCACTAACTGATAGAGATAACCCAGCTCTTGACCCCACTTCCCCCCTCCCCAGCCTGCTTCCCTATCTCTCAGGTCCAAGAACCTATTCATCCCATCTCTCTCTGCAGATATATCCCTATGAGCTGCTTCTGGTAACCACCAGGGGAAGGAATCGGCTGCCCAAAGATGTGGACAGGACTCGGTTAGAGGTTAGTGAAGCCTTCTGCACAATGTCCTTGGGAGACGGCTTGTGCCTGGTCCTTCCTCCCCCCACAGAGACTTGCTTTCAGACTGACTTAAGTCCTTCCTCAAAGCAGCCTTACAATAGTGGCTGGGTTGGGTTGGGCTGGGCTGGGTGG